CTGGTAAGTGGCTGTGTATGGCTCCATAGCGATGTCGTCCATGACCTCATAGCTCCAACGGCTCCAGCGACGTCGTCCATGACCTTGTTGCTCCAACGAGTCATCCCTGACATCATGGCAGACACGGTCACATGATAATCACATGGTAGGAGGCTATGCGAGGTCACCGGGTCAAGATATACAAGGCTTGACAAGTGTTGGCTAATGAATCCGTTGGTGGCTCCGCAGTCAAGGAGACCCTCAACCGCCAGCCCGCACCCGCTGGAGAGCTCTTCCAGGGCGACTGGGAGCATCATCGCGCTGCTCCCGTCCCCTCGGATAAATAGGGAGCATCCTTTAGGCTTCGCAAGGCCTCCAGTACCTCTTGTCGGTATCCGGTCTGTACGAAGTCTTTCAGTTCTTCTGTTACTTCCCCGTGCCGAGCAGGATGAGTCCAGTTGAACAGGCCCACTCCCATGTCTTGTGGTCTGGCGCGCAGTCTTTCCAGTAGTCGCTCAGCACTGGAGCGGCAGTTGTTTCCACGCTGCGGGTTCCTCTGCGGGTTTTGGGATCCGTAGCAGCTTCTTCTCTGGCGTCCTCCGCCCAGTAGGTGGGGTATATGGTTCGGTTTCTACGTCTTCATCACTCGAGTAATACATGGGCAATGGGGAAAATCGATTGTTCTTGCGTATTACATCGGTACGGACGGGGTATGGTCAAGAGGGCGTAGAGTTCACTCGCGACTGTCGGGAAAATCCGCCTGTTGTTCGGCGTCTTGTTCCTGTGTTCCTTTGGCTACCGCCCGGATCTGCTGAGGGCGGCGGTTGGGGCAGTTGCGGCTGAGATGCCCCTTCTGGTGGCAGGTCCAGCACGTTGCCTCCCGGATTTGCTTCTCGTTGCTCATGGCTCGGTCGATGTCCATGGGGACGGGTCCCGCAGTAGCGGTGATGTGTGTGCTTGGAGAACTAACTACAAAAACTAAACTAGTGTTTGAATAACACAAACCCAAAATCCTATAACTCTGAATAAGACTTGTGATAGTCGAACTCGTCGTAATTGGTGTAAGGGAGTGAAACCGAACAACACTAATCCAATCAAGTAGCTAATAGACTCTAGCGAGTTCAGAACCCTGGGTACAGGGCCTTTGGTGGGGGTGCAGGGTAGGTAATTCGAGAGTTTGTAACGCGCACATAAGACGTACTATCGACGAGCCTTGATGGGGCGGCCAAATACGATGTCCTAGTTCTTAATCGGTATCTTCCTAGTTCTTCAGTCTTCTGTCTTCCTTATTCTGTTCAATCCTTGTTCACTAATCACTAATCACTAATCACTAATCCTTGTCAAACACTTCTGATATCTTGATGTCCGAATAACTCTTGGCTCAATTCACACAGTTCAAATCCGATTTAAAGTTGTAGCCTTTGCAGTCTTGTAGCTTAGCTAAACCCCAGATCGCGGCCTCAATAGGTGGGCGATTCCGTGGCTACAGTGTCCCAAAACCCTACTTATATACCCTTGGCTGTGTCATATTTGTGTAGTAAAATATCATGATAGATCGCCGATACCAAGCCCTCGAGTCATAATCGTACGCAGATCCCTGATCTGAATTGTGATTGGTCGTTATTTGGTATGATGCCCCCCCCAATAGTCCATGTAGCGGTTTTGCCCTAAGGTCCGGTGGATAGTCCTCGTTCGTAGCTTTCCGTGCATATGTGGTTTGTCCCGAACGGCCCAGTAGTTCTGACGTTATGGCCTGTGCGTGTTTCCTCAATAAGGTCATCAGGTTTACTCGGTCGGCTCTCAGGTCTTGTAATCTTCGGCATCCGACGGCACATTGCTCTCGGCTCCGATTCGGGATTCGTTGGTCCGATAGGTTCCGGCCCGTGCTTCTCCGCCATCTTATCGCAAGTCTGATTATCAAACTGTTATTCCGAGACTGCCAGGTCTTATTCGGTGTTTATCCCTTTGAGTGTTTTGCACTGGATTGGATAGGTCCAGGCTTGTGGGCTCTGCTGGTATGTATAGACAGAGACTTTGGAATGTGCCGCGGGTCGTCAACCCCATTGCAGACCTTGTTCACTGTTGCAGATATCTCCCAACTAGCTATTCGGGCTCATACTAGTTCTCTGATGTGCGCACTGAATAAGCGCGAAAAGAATGACTTTCCACGCCTGCTCCAGAAAGTGGCTTATCAGCGGGTGCAGTGGTGTTCGGCGCTGGGGTGGTAGTAGCAGTGCCGAATGTGGCCGTGGGAGTGTTGGTTGTAAAACCCGAGCAGTTCCAGTTACTATGGTTCTGGAATCCGGTGCGTGGGTTCTCCTGGTTGGGGCGGGTTCCTGTGTTCCCGCCGTGATTGGCGTTCGGTTGAGTCGCCGGGTTCTGCGGCTTGGTGGCGTTGTCGTGCATGGAAATTGTTTAGCAAGAAGAGGGAAAACTCGTGCTAAAGCAACTTCCTGTCAAACCCAGAAACACTCAAGGACGGTGCTTTAGAATTACCTAATCAATGCTCAGGTGACAATAATGACAAATCAATCATCAGTCAAGTCATCAGGATGATGCTATATCATCAGGATGGATGACTACAAGGTCATTAGCTCATCTAGAGCAGTCTAGGCCTCATGACACTTTGAAAATGACAAGTGGACATGTGACTATGACTTCATACCCTTCCGGAGCCGCCCAGACACCTTCCAGAGCCACCCAGACGCATCCGGACCTATAATGACCTCGTTGTGGAGAGCCAAGAAGCAGTGTCGTCGTCTATGACTTCATTGCGGGGCAATGACATCGCTTTGAGGATGATGTCACCTATGACATCATTGGACCCAGAGCAGTATATAAAGGCCAAGGAATTGGCAGTAGAATAGACGACTTGTACCCCCCCACTTGTACTTGCACTTTACCTCTACCTTGTATTCCAGTCTGATACTTCTTGTATCTTATCCTGAATACATCTTCACTTTGTTGTGAACATTCTCTGACCTGGTCCGAGTTTTTCAATACTTCTTCCGAGTCCCCAGTATCCTGCAACACTATTGTCCTTTGCTGGACCTCTACCTTGCTTGTGCTGTTCATGATTTTGTGTTGTTCTTCTTCGAGATCTTCCTTCAGAAGATTGTTTGAGACATTTATTGTGCATCCTCACCTTCCATCTACCAACTACTGAGTTCATCTTGGTGAACTTATTCCCCCCCCACCTACGTTTATTTGTTTATTCTTGGTGTGCATCCAATACGACTTGTATTGGTTGGAAGAGGGGTGGGCGACGGTCACACTTGCGATGACTCATCAATTTGTTGGCATCACTGACTCGCTTCTTCCACTGGCACTGCCGACTTGCTGCCGACCCTCGCGACTCAGTCCTGGCTAGCACCTCTTGACGGTTGGCCTGAACTCCAATGTCCTTCCAGTCCTACTCATCGCTCCTCTCCTCCGAGTCGCTGAGCCGCGCTCAACCCGAAGTGACTCGGACGAAGTTGTCAAAGTCGCCACTCAAAAGTTTTCCAAATCGCAGGCAAGGCAAGGCCACACTGCCCGTTATGCTCTCCAGCTCATGCTACCTCATGGCTATCCGATCCTTCCGATACTTTTTCAATGAACAGTCAATCGCTGCGAGAACAACTGCGATTTCACTCCGAAATTACAGTAGAGCGTCTATTCTGTCTTCTCTGCAGCGGAATCTGAACGGTCTCGGCGGCTCGACTCACCAGTGTTGTCTTGAGGAAACTAGTACTCAGGCTGGAGTGCGAGGTCCTGGCACTTTCGAATACTGATGGAATTGGGATCGTGCATGTCGGAGTCCATGTCCCACTCTCGCGCTCGGACCAGCGCTTTGACCCCAAACTGGACACTCCCACCTGACGTGACCATAACGCACATGGCATTCTTCTCCACTCCCACTGGTCCCTCGTCTCGGGTGGCAGAACCTTCCTCGGCGAACATGTCTCGGCCAACTCCGAGTCCCGCCTTGTCGTCGTCGGCGCCTCGTCGCCCTCTCGCTCGTACGTTCGCATTGCCATTCATTCCATCGGCGGAGCCCTCGTCGAGCACGACCACGACTCACTTCCTCAGTCGTTCCCCGGCGCTCGTCGATACCTGGTCTCGGCCTCAGCTCGCCGTTACAGTATCTGCTCCACGGCCACCGGGTCATATTGATGTTGGAACGGGTCCGCTTTTACTCGACGTTCAGTCTCGGGTGGCAAACCCTTCCTCGGCGCCCGCTCCAGGTCCCACCTCATCGTCGCCTGCGGCAGTATCAGCGTTGCGTCGTCGACCTCTTTCTCGCACCCGAGGACTGCCAGTCATGCAATCGGCGCCGCTCTCGTCCAGCTCGAAGTCACCAGCGACTCGCGCTGTGACCGACAGGCCCTTCCTTGACAACACCGTCACCTGGTATCGACTGCAGCAGAATGAGCCAGAAGCTGCTCAGAAGCTGCAGCCTCGCGCGCGAAAAAAAACTCCTTCGCCACCACCGCCACCTCCTAGTCGTGGCCGGACGGGTGTAGATGTACCCCCCGCCCAGTCCATGAACGTCGTACAGAGCAAACTGCCCGCCACGATTAACTACTCGAGACCTTTGCATCTCGTCTTCACAACGGCTAAAGGCTCGAGCGCCACGGTCGTTGCTCCTCGCAGAGTCACACTAGCGCCGCGGGTGGCACCACGTCCGGCTGCCGAAAAAGATACCTCAGTCAAGACTCAACCAGTTCGTGCGCCGATTGTGCCAAGGCAACCCGCATCGCCTGCACGGAGAGTACCCTCCGCCGTCCGCGTCCAGTTCCATCGGATGCTTGAACTTGAATCTGAAGAGACCCGTAAACGGAAGCGGGCAGACGTCGACTCGGACTCGGATAGCGATGAGCAACTTGAAGGGATCTTGGTGAGAGGAGGCGCAAGGCGAAGGTAGCGCGACAGTGTTGAGGGATAATATCTATGAATTTTGTAACGGATTCGCATTTGTTATGGACGTGTATAAGTAGTCCGGTCAACGCCAACAGAGCTCACTGAAACATCCGCGCTACGGGCTAATGGCGTAGTTGGTTATCGCGCCTGCTTTGCATGTAGGAGATCTGGAGTTCAAATCTCTATTGGTCCATTATTTTTGTTTTGCCGTCTCGGATCTTCTTATCCATCAGTCACAACTGTCCCCTTTCTTTTGCCCCACCATGATGCTTCCCACCATCTAATCCTCGACCACCTCCACGCCGACCGGCGAGCTTTGCTTAGCGCATCCCTCGTCTGCCGCGCCTGGGTGCCTACAGCTCGGTTTCATCTCTTCGAGCGGTTTGCGTTGCATGCCCGACACGCTTCGCGAGCGTACGAGCTACAAGAAATCCTATCGAATCCCCTCTGCACGATACTCCACTCAATCCACTTCGAATGGCACAATCCACGGGCACTCGTACCGCACACGTCCCACCGACAGTCGGGGACAATGCTTCAAGTGCTCCTCCCCAGCATCGTAAAACTGCAGTCAGTCCGGGAGCTGACTCTCTCCGATCCGTGCTTGGAGGTCATGGAGGCGTTTCCGAGCGTGGTCAATCTGGCCATCTCGTACGTTCTCTTCGGCGAGTCTTCTGCACAGCAGATCCTCGCATGCTTTGGTCATCTGGAACATCTCAAGTTGTACGACGCCGGATCGGTGCGGCCCAATAGTGCTTGGGATGCCGACCCGACATACCTCAGCCTATCTGCCCTCTTCGGCGACTCACCTTGCGCGGATCGACACTCGCGGTGCTTCAGTGGCTGGAGCCATTACCCGCCTGCAGCCACATCACCAATCTGGGCGTCCACAACGTGGCCTCTTTCGAGGCTGGCTATCTCGCCAGCTTCATTGCCTCGCTAGACGCCCTTGAATGGTTTACCCTCTCTTTTATGGAACTCGTCGATGGTTTTTGTTTTTTCCGTTGTGCCTTGGAGCCGCTACTCACCTTACACCCAGTAACCGACGAACACATTGTTCCGTATCTTCTCCCTCCCAAATCTATTCGCACTCTCCAGGTCTTGCGTGTACACTTCCGAAGCATGGACGAAGCGCTTGCGTTCTTTGGCTTCGACATCGTCTTTCCGGAATCTGGATCTGCGTCTGCGTCATGGCCTGACGCGGCTGTGTGTGTTGCGGCGCGGGTGGGGGGGACTCAATACTCGGATATGAAGGTGGTAGCTGTGAAGAGGCCCAAGCTACGGCTGGAGATTATCGTTCAGCAGAGTCCCGCGCCGATTATTTGGCCTCTCCAAGACAATCCCCTCTTAGATGTTATATTCCTGGGAAATGATATCTGACTAGCTGTGATATGCTCAGCTATGTGTTGTTGCTCTCGATGACAGCAGACTCGTCCCAAATCAAGCAGCATTCAAATCAATTTCGGGCAGTCATACATTCATACAAGGTAAAATACAAAAATCCGTTGCGAGTTAACCGGGTGCCGATGTGTATCCGTGTCCCAGAAGCTGGATCTCGTCGCTCAAAGAGTGATCGGGATGCAGTTGATGGCGATGAGACCGCCCCATTCGTTCTCGGGGGCGTCGCAGTTGACGGTGGTGCCTCCGCTGGAAGGATGTTAGCGACTACGCAGAGAACACAAGAAAGGACGCTCACCAGTTGTTACCGATGACGGTGATGGGCGAGCAGCTGAGACCGACTGGGACGGCGAGACCTGTGAGGTCAAGGCTAAGGAGCGCCGCAACGACGGAAGCAGCTGTGCTGGTGGAGGACACGACACTGTCGCAGCACTGGGGCGAGGTCGGGGGTGTCACCGGGGGAGGAGGCGAGCTGGTAGGCACGGCGGCAGCAAGGGTCTGTCAAATGCAAAATAGTGAGCAAGCTGGAGGATGGACAAGACGAGGCTTACGAGCAGAGCGCAGACGGTAGCGAGTTTAAAGAACATTGTTGGTTGGGTTGGGTACTTGAACGGGTGGTCGAGTGAGGATGGTGGATAGAACGACGTTGCCTTTTATCCTCCTTCGTTTACATAGCCTTTAGGATGACGACTAGCTTTAGAATGACGACGAAACCTCACCCGGCACAGGAACGGACAAGTTGAAGCCTGGAGCACAGTGTCAGTGGAGCGCATTGTGTTCAACTCCGTGCTGTTTCCATACACGACGAGCGTCGAGACCGAGCCTTGACGGAAGGAAGGAATCGCTGTACATTTGGCTAAACAGTGCCCCGTGGAGTGGGCGAGTGAGGTTCCGGTTCCCTTGGCAGTGTCAGTGTCGCAAATGGAGTGCCAGTGTTCTCGAGATGAGACGGACGTCGACCATATCGGCTTGGCTTGAGGTGGCTTGTGCATGAAGAGCATACAGTAGCATCGAGACAGAGACCAGTTTTGACCATTATAGCAAGACTCGACTCGAATGGCACTTGACGCCGAAGAATTGTGTTGCGGTTTGCCTGCGTCTTCCATCCAATGAGTCACATATACACTCCACATGGACAACGGCAACTTGAAGGAAGGTGTATGCTTACCTGCATCGTTCTCTGCCGCGGCGGTCGTACGCCGGCAACGCCACCGCCCGCCGGCGACAGCGGCCATCTGCGGGGACACAGCGGCTTACGCTCACGCTAAGTGAAGACCATCTTTCCTCGCTCGATGACGCGGGCTCTCTCCGAGTCAGTGAGCACTGGCACTGTCCCGGCACCGCATTACCACTGGCACCGGCGCGACGCAAGTTTCAAGTTTGCGGAGACTGAGCTCTGCCTAGATGGATGCAAAGTGAGCGTTGCCAGTGCCAGTGAGCGAACCACACACCTCGTTTCAACGCTCGGTTCTGTGCTGCTTGCGTGCGACATCGGAGAAAGAGGCCCAGACACGAGACCATGATCGTATCAATGCGGAATGTGAGCGCTTATCAGTTGGCATCATGATCACATCCTGACGGAAACTCTCATGTTGTACCGACTCTCCCGCTGGGGATCTTACCAATCGCGCCTCTAGAGCTGGGTTCTCCCTCGGCCCAGACCGGCTGGCTAACTCACGGTTTGAATACCAAGATGATCTGCTTTCTGTATTCCGTTACTAGTAAGTGCTGCAGGGAGGTATTCCGTATTCGATTCGACCCCCGACGGCAACAGACCTTTTTTATATCGTTCATATCTGACTCAGACTGACGGTCAATGCAAACGGTCTCGTATACTCGCGGCGCCTCCTGTTCGATAGCGTTACCGTTAAACGACAAGTTATTGTAGATGATTCTATTTGCGAAATCGCAACAACATTACAACAGACTACAGTGTGGAACCCGACCTACTCAGAATCCACCACATGCCTGTCTTTATCCCCGACTTTGGGAATGCGGACAAAGAGCTCGGCGTCACCATAGAAATGTGTGTCGCCATACTCGTTGCCCAAATATCCCATGAACGTGCTCTTGGTCGCGTTCAGGCCTTTCCGCGGGGTAACCCAGTGTACCGAGAACAGCTTCTTGCCAGGGTATTCCTCCTCCTCCTCATCGTCGTCCACCATCATACGTGAGGCGCCCTCGCCCTTGCCCTTGCCCTTGATGTACCCCGCTTCATCGACGTCCCTCACTAAATTCCCCTGCTCCGCGAATAAAGCGTCCATGTCCCCGTTTTCGAAATCGTGGCCGCTCACATCCACGGCGCTGTCCAGAAGGACGAGATCCCGCCTGGGATGGTCTTCGAGCTTGTATACGAAGCGAATGCGCGGCTCGAGTCCCGCGCGGAGGGCGGCGTTTCGCAGGCGTGCATCGCAGCCTTTGAGGAGCGCGGTGTCGAGGAGGGGTTTGGCTTTGTCTTTCGTAGTGCGGTCTCTGTCCATGTCCTCGTCGTAGAAATCGTCATCCTCGTCGTATCGATCCTCCGAGTCATCCGGCCGCGGCATGGGGTATTGGTGTGCGAGACCAAAGGCTAGGAACCCGCCATTAGGGAACCAGGCCCGGTCCGAGAGTAACACGCGGAGCGAGGTTTCGCAAGCCAGCTCTGGAGGCGGAGCGATACGGGTGTTGGGAGCGGTCGCGGAGCTGCCGGAGGTTCGTGCGGTCAGGAACAGGTTGTAGGTGAGGGTGACGCGGTAGCCGGAGATGACGGGCTCGACGGTGTGGGTGACGTCGCTGAAGAACGCGATATATGCGACGGCGGGAGGGACCTTTCCACCGTTCGCGGCGCCTTGAGGCATTTTGAGCTGACTGGCCGAGTCGAATACCCATTTCCCTTCGCCTTGGGACAAGGTGAGCGCGCCGCCTTCGTGTTCAGTGGGAAGAACGACGACGAGCGACCCAATCATGTTGTTCGCCCGGGGGGTATCTTTATGGGCTTTGAAGAACGATCCCGGGCCTAGGTGAGCCTCGTCAGATATATCCAGTGAAAACCCATCTGAATGCGCACCATAAACGTTTAGCTTATACATCTCGGCACGAATGACCCGGTCGTCTTGTGCGTCTTGAGAAACCAAGAGTTCTGGAGAGATTGCGTCGAGGATCCCGGAAGAAGCCACATCCAAGCGCGCGGAGAAGTTCTCGACGTCCAACTTTCCAGCCTTGCGGTAGGTCTCATCGAGAACGTCGCCATGCTCAGCACCAAATGTAGCCTTTTGACACGCAGCTGCGAGTTTCTCAAGGGCATCGTTCGTCGGAGCGTTGAAATCGATGTATCTGTATCGATATAAGCGTTTTTGGAAGAGCGCAGGATGCCACGTACTGTGCAGCGCCTGCCGACTCGGACTTGGAGTCGCCACTCCGAAAAAACAGGCCTAGATCTTCCTTCCGAACGGCATTAACGCCACAGGTATACGGAATCGATGTTTTCAGTGATGATTTGAGGACTTCCAGGTGGTCAGCGATGGTCCAAGTTCCCGGCATGAGCGTCAGGAGAAAGGGGGGCGTGTGTGACACGACAGTAACGATAATTGATGGTTACGGACGCTTGCTTACCAAATTGTTGGTTTGGTTGTTGGTTTTTGTCTGTAAAATTTCTTAGAATTACGAAGTGTATGCAGAAAAATTATCAATTGTTCTCTACACGCCGAACAAATTCACTCGGAGAAACTCCAAGTTGAACTAGAAATCAGAACCGTGAGACCTATATTAGACGCTCAACGAGGCGCCCAAAATCTGTGACCAAGAAGCACAACGCTG